TACACCACCCCTCCCGCCACAGCCCCACACTGGATAGAACCAGGACCCCTGGCTCCCAGCCCCCACTGTAATCCTGTGAGCCCCTTCTCCCTCCCAGAACTGAGAGCAGAAACACACACACACACACACACACACACACACACCCTGCTCTAACCACTATACTCCACGCCCCTCAGAATTCAAGCTTGGTCCCTCGTATGCAGCGGTGGGTCTCTCGTACACAGTGGTGCGGGGTCTGTGGTGGGGTCTGTGGTCTCATTGAGGGTGTCCAGGTCCCAGCTGGGCACATGGAGCCTGTAGCACAAACACTCTGGGGCGGGCTGGCCGTGCCTGAGGCTTTATCTAGAACAGGAAGGGGCAGGGTTGCACGTGTGTCGTCTCTACAGCCTATCCTGGAAAAGGCTCCCTCACTCTCACAGCCCTTGGGACAGAGGCCCGTCCTCACCTCCAGACAGCCACAAGCAGCCACACATCACACCTCAGGCACACTCCCCCAGGAACCTACCCCTGCACCACACCCCGCTGCCAACTCTCTCCACACGTCTACATCAGCGACACCATCACAGGCCCTAATCACAGCAGAGGCTCCTACAACTGCCCGTCCACTAATGTGATCTGTGCCAGCCAGGCCCCTCGGCCAGGCTACGGGCCAGATCAGACAGTCCTGAGACAAAGGATAAACACACATCAGACATCAGGAATGGGAACACACGGAAACGGGGGGCAACATTTTAACCTGCCTGGGCACTCAGAGGCATTTCAGGAAGGAAGGACAGAGAGAGTCTGCGGAACTGGCCTTCATATGCAAAGCTGACACACAGAGGAAAGACATGAACTGGATGCGCCGTTATAGTGAATACCTGAAAAAATGAGGAAGAACGGCTCTTGCGCAAGAGGGGGGGTTTGCGCAAAAAGGAGCTGTTTACACAATTTGTTTTTGCACAAAAGCCTCTTGTGCAAAAATGCCCCCTAATTAATTATGCAAATGAAATAAGGCAATATGCTAATCCACATTTCATTTGCATAGGCTTTTGCACAAGAAAGAAGCCTAAGGGGCGACTGGACTGCTCGTGTTTTTTTATGAAAGTTACAGACTAACACGGCTTCCCTTCTGAGTTTCTCACCTCGAGAGGTTCCCACCACATGTAGATAGATAACACAAGAGCTCTCACAGCTATTGATCGCCTGATCTAACCACTAGACCCTACCCCAGCGGCGAACGTAACTTCACATTTCCTACAGATACTGTGCTACTGCCAGCTCTTGAAATAGCTCCCTGCTGGCTTTGCCACAGCTCAGCCAGATCTTGCCAGAACCCAGCAGACCCCCTTACTATAACCACTAGACCCTCCCCCCACTCAGGCCGGGTAATGCATTGCTTGTGACTGAGCATTTCTTGTGAGCTCGCTGGCCTGTGGTATTCTGGGTGAGGTGCAGCCTGTGTCATGAAAGGGTGCAAAATAAAGGCCCTTCCTCCTCACAGGGGCACATCCCAACAGATGAGCTCCTCCTGCCACTGGATATAAGAGAGGTCAGCCTGTGGGACTGCCTGCCACTGGATATAAGAGAGGTCAGCCTGTGGGACTGCCTGCCACTGGATATAAGAGAGGTCAGCCTGTGGGACTGCCTGCCACTGGATAGCAGAGGGGCACTCCATGGCAATAGGAGGTAAGGTCTGTAAAGGGCTGTAGTAGCGGGGCTGGGGTTCTCTCCCCGCCTCTGATGGGGTGGAGCGTGAGTGTGGGGGTGGAGAGTGTAGAAGTCACAGAGCTACGGCGAGTGAGCTCACCACACTGGCAGGGTTTGATGTTGAGAGGACAGACACACGGACGGCGCTTTGCCAGCAAGCACAAGCCATCCAAGCCCCTGTCTGAGCTGGCTCCATATTTCCACCATCCGCCACCCAGGTGAGTCGAGACGATGGGCAGAGAGCCCGACGCTGGATCTGAAGGGGAATTTCCTAGCTGAGGCCTCTTAGACACCACAGACATTGGCTATTGCAAAGGCAAACCAGGGAGACTCCCTACCACCAGATATCAGTGGGGTTAGCCTGTAGGACTCCTGCCACTGGGTACTAGTGGGGTTAACCTGTGGGACTCCCTACCCCTAGACTTCCCAGACTTCTGATTTCCCTTGCCCACCCCTTCTTTCATCTCACTAAGAAAGGACCTGCTTACACAACCGACACAACGCACACAGTGTCACAGCACGGTGCCACTGACGGCTGCCCTTCCTGTTTTCTCAGACACTTATACATCGATGGGCTGGGAACCCTGATACTCACCGTCCGGGGTCAGAGCACAGAGCAGTGGGAACAAGTCCCTGTAGGAAAGCTTAGCAGGGACTGACTTCACCAGGGCTTTTTATGGCGCCTGTTGTCAAACTAGGCAAATCTCCCGATGAGCTGGGGTACCCCCGGGAGGGCTCTGTGCGCCCCTGGGGTACGTGTCCCTAGCGGAGAGCCACTGCTCTAAGGCCTCACACCTCACTTCCCCCCACAGCCAAGCACTTCTGACCCTTCCCCTTGCCGAGAGCTCAGGACACACCCAAGGGTGCTGGCTCCCATGGAGGCACCGTGCTCCCAAGGCCCTGGCTGAGGCACTAGCCTAGAGGTGCTGGAGCAGGGCTGGCAGCACGGCTGTGGAGCACAGAAGCGACTCGGTGGACAGAGGTTTCCTGTGTTAAAATGAGGGTGAGGTCCCTGTACATCTAATGAGTCAGGATGTAACAGCAACAGGCAGATAAGCACAGAAGAGAGGAGGGGCAACTTGTTCCATCTGGTAGCAGAGAGTTCCGCTGGCACCAGCTTCTACACGCTGGGAGTCAGCAACACCGATCCCACCCTCCTGAGCCAGCCCGGCCCTGCCCTGGAGACAGAGTGGAGCCAGCGCCTCCTAGTGGGGAAAGGCCCGATAGTCCATCCCCACCCCTCTGAGCCAGCCTGTCCTCCAGCTCACAGCCATGTTGTATTCTCAGCACAGGGCTGTGTGTGATCAACTAGACTTTCTCCTTCTCTGCTCCTCCTGCACCTATCTTCTTTCCCTCCTCCACTGCCCAGGGCTCCATCTTGCAGCAGTGAGTTCCACCGGCTGTAGCCCAGGTGCCCATCATATCCAGCCTGGATGTTCTGGAGGAGCCGAGGGTGCCCATAAAGGTCCTCTCTGATGTTGCCTTCCAAACACCCTCTGCTATTTCTCTTCTCTCCTCTTCCACTCTTCCGTTCCCCTCCCTTGCCCTCACTTCCAGCTCTGCCTCCGTTTCCCCCCAGGGCACCATGGAACAAGGCAACATCACCTTCCCACCAACCACCGTAGCAAATTCCAGCCAGCGACAAGCAGTTTTGACCCCCACTCACCTGGCCGCAGCCGGGTTGCTCTTCATCACCTTCCTGGTGGGTGCGGTGGGGAACGGGCTGTACCTGTGGGTGCTGGGGCTGAAGATGAAGAGGACGGTGACCACGCTCTGGTTCCTCCACCTGATCTTCTGCTACCTCCTCTTCACCCTGCTGATCCCCTTCTTCGCTATCTACATCCTGATGGGTTTCCACTGGGTCTTCGGCACGGCCATGTGCAAACTCCTCAACACCTGCATCTCCGTGGGCATGTTCTCCTCCGTCTTCCTGCTCACCCTCATCAGCCTGGACCGCTACACCCTCACCTGCCAGCCTATTTGGTCCCGGTATCACCGCACCATGAGCCGGGCTAGGAAACTTGTCGTGGGCGTGTGGCTGGTCTCCTTTGCTCTCAGCGCTCCCTACCTGGCTTTCCGGGAGACCCGCATGGTGGGCGGGGGCAGAATCGCCTGCATCAACAATTACAATATCTCCAGAAACTGGAATGGAACCAAGACACGAGATCTGGGGAGACAGATCCATCTGGCCGTCTTTGTGATCCGGTTCCTCCTGGGCTTCCTGCTGCCCTTCTGCACCATCATGGGATGCTACAGCCAAGTGAGGTTGGAGATGAAGGAGAAGAGGCCGGTGTGGGCTGGGAAGCCCTTCAAAGTCATGGTGGCAGCAGTGGTGTCCTTCTTCCTCGGCTGGCTGCCCTACCACTTCTACCAGGGCTTGAATTTCTACACAAAGGCGTTGCCAGAGTCGGTGTCGGATGCCCTCTTGGTCATTTACACCTTTACAACCTGCTTCACTACCTGTTTCACCCCCATCCTCTACCTGTTTGTGGGGGAGAATTTCTGGCAGGTCTTCAGGACGTCTCTTCCCATGCTGGTCAAGGCGGGGTTTGACGATGAACTCGGCAGCTATTCCCCTGAGTCTAGTGTAAGACTTGGGACACAATTTGTGAACGCACAACAGAATCAGACTTAGGGTGAGGTGAGAACGCGGCTTCCCGTTTGTACCTCGTTCCTGGGTGATTCTAGAACGGGGTGGGCAAAAGGGCCTCTGTGGGCCGGATCTGGTCCACCAAGCGGATTGATCCGGCCCTCGGAGGCCCTGCCGCTCCCGCGTCCCCAACGCAATTCAGTCCTAGGGGCAGAGAAGCGCTCAAAGCTCTTTGAAGCACATGCACACCTCACAGGGTGGGAGGAGACATCACCTGCTCCCCCGTCCCCAGGCCTTAATTGGCCTGGGGGCAGGAAGAGCATGCAACGTTTCCTCCCCCTCCCCCACACCCTGCAAGGAGTGAACGGCTCCAAACGCCGTACATGAGGACAGGGCGAAGGAAACTTCATGCAGCTCCCCTGCCCCAGACTCTGAATGGCCTGGGGGCGGGGGAAGGCGTGAAGCTTCCGCCCACCCCGCGAGGAGCGCATGGCCCTTTGACGTGTCGATGGCGGGGGTAGGGCGGGAGGAAGCTTAAAAGTGCCACTTGGTCCTCGCAGGGCAGGAGGCGGCGTCACGCGCTGATTGGCCTGGGGGTGGGAGAGCATGCGAAGCCTCTTCCCGCCCTGCCGGAGCATGGGTGCCTAGTGGGAGGGGGGGGACAAAGACGCTCCTCCACCACCGGACCAATCATGGTCTGTGGGTGGGGAAGCCCAGAAGCATCCTGGCCACGCCCCTCCCCACCCAAAAATTATTGCCCACCCCGTTCTAAAATCTGACGGGTTCCAGGTATCTGACCATTCGTAAACACCGTCCTGTGCCTGGGTTCTAGATTCATGGCTCTCTCCAGATCCCTGGGTTCTAGGTCTCACAATCTGTCTCAGTCTCAATTGGTCCTCAGGGCACCAGATTCAGTAGCCGTCTCCAGACTCCTCAGCTGGTTTCTTCACCACCAGCAATTCTTAAGGCACGACCGAGCGTTTTCCTCCGGGATCTGCTCAAGTTCAACCAGGGACTAATTCAGGGACATTCTGCAGCAGGGCAGACGAGGGGACTATAAGAATGTAGGAACAACCAGATCGGGTCAGACCAAAGGTCCATCTATCCCAGTGTCCTGTCTGCCCACAGCGGCCCATGCCCGGTGCCCTGAGGGAATGAACATAACAGGGAATCATCCAGCGATCCCTCCTCTGTCTCCCATTTCCAATCCCTGACAAACAAACACCAGGGACACCATCCCTGCCCAGCCTAGCTAATAACTATTGATGGACCCAACCTCCATGAATGTATCTAGTTCTTTTTTGAACCCCATTAAAGTGCTGGTGTTCCACACCCTCCTCTGGCAAGGAGTTCCGCAGGTTAACTGCATTGCCTATTTGGCACTGGTGAGGCCACGTCTGGAGTACTGCATCCAATTCTGGGCCTCCCACTACACAAAGGACATGGACATATTGGAGAAAATCCAGCAGAGCGCCACCAAAATGGTGAGGGGGCTGGAGCACATGATCTACTGGGGGAGACAGACTTGTTTATTCTGCAGACGAGTGAGGGAGGTTCAGAAAGGAAGGAGAGAGGCTGTTCTCAGCGGTGACAGATGGCAGAACGAGGGGCAATGGTCTCAAGATGCAGTGTGGGAGGTCTAAGTTGGGGGGGTGAAGCACGGGAAGGGGTTCCCTAGGTAGGGGGTGGAATCTCCTTCCTTAGGGTTTTTTAAGTCCGGGTTGGGGGCAGGACTCGATGACTCCTTAGGTCTCTTCCAGCCCTATGATCCTGTGATTCTATGAAATTCCAATCTTGGGGAGTTTTAGAAGCCTTTAGTGACAGGGTATTTAAAGTGTCTTGCAGCTTCCCCTGCCCACCCCTAGGTTCTGCACTGGAAGTGCCATTGGCAGGGAAACAGTCAAAGCTCACAGCGCCCCAGCATAGAGGCAAAGGTGGCCCCCCCAACCCAGTTCACCAAGGGGAAGCTCTGGACCATCTGTGATGTAGTGGGGGTACCTGGCTGGTTTCTATGCTGCTGGCTCTGGGGTAACCCCCACTGGCTGCCCTGGGTACCACGACCCAGCAAAACAGGATGAGTCACTATGCAAACCAGTAGAGCCAGACACCCCCCATGGAGAGGAACAAAGGAAGGTGGATGCTGCCCTGGCTGGGGGGCAGGGTTGGAAGAGGGTTAGTTAGTTGCTGGCTGGGAGCATGGAGGAGACAGCCTAGGGAAAGGGGCTGGAGTTTAGGGGCCCAGTCTCTCCCATCTCAAGGGGGCCTGAGGCAGCCTAGCCCAGCTCTGTGACCAGACTACATCTGTGCTGTGCTGTAACCTGGAGAGGCAATAAACTTCCTCTATTCCACCGGCTGGTGCAGTCTGTTTGTGCCATTTCGGGGTGCAGGAGACGG